GGAGCAGCCACAGGACAAGGATGAGTGGGCCTCAAAGTTGTATGGCGGTGGCAAGTACCTGGAGATCGGCAGCAGTGACTCCTTGAAGCGGCGCAGCTGGGAGGATCGCGTGCCGCTGCCCGCCAGTGTGGAGGAGCCACCGCCGCTGCCGCCGCCGCCGGCAGTGCCCACCTCTAGCTCATCCTCATCCAGTTCCAGTTCGGACAGCGATGACGACGATGATCGGCACCCACCGCAAATGGCTCCACCACCAGTGCCAGTGCCCGTGCCTGCTTCTTTACCCGTTCCAGCCGCTGCTGCTGCCGCTGCTCCCGCAGCTGCCACTGAGCCAGTGGTGGCCACCATCTCCTCCTCGCTCTTCTCGCCCGACGTAGAGCAACGCAACTTTGACACTTTCAATGCCAGCTTCGCCAAGTACGAGCAGCGCAACAGCACCGCCATCTTTGCCGATGAGCCAGAGCTGCTGGACGACTTGACCATGGAACTGGATAAGCTGGCTACCCCACCAATGCCCACGCCCACGCCCACAGCACGTCCAAAGCCACAGCCACGCGTAATGGCGGACCTAAAAGCCGAGGAGGAGGCTGCGCGGCTGCAGCGCGCCGAAGAGGATGCTCGCCTGGAGGCGGAGCTGCGCCTGAACGAGGAGCGTCTGCGCCAGGAGGAGGCGGCCATGCAGCGAGAGTTGGAGGAGGAGGAGGTGAGGGAGAGGGAGCGCCAGAAGCTGGACGAGCAGCAGCGACGTGAGGCCAAGCGCTGGGAGGAAGACCAGAGGTTGCTCAGCTTCGCCAAGCGGTCCACTTCCCTCGAGGAGGAGCAATCGCCGGGGATTGTGACCGAGCAGGTGGTGGAGGAGGTGGAAGCGGCAGAGCCGGAGCAGGATCACAACTTCCTAACGCCCGAGCAGTCGCCCAAGGAGTTCCAGACCAATGGCAGCGGCCGGGAGAAGCGGCTGGGCAAGTTCAAGTACGGCAACAAGCGAGGTGAGCTGATCAACCCGATCCGAAACGAAACGAAATCCTGGGCCACCACAACATAGAACACAACTCCTCCTGACCTCTCCAAAAACCAAACAAAATAGAAAGGGAGTGCGGCGGCAAAACGCTGGCGGATCGCAATGCGCACACGAAACCGAACCAAGCTAACTTCCAGTCAACGTCGTCATCTGTCGCGTCATCCTCCTCCGAAGCGTTTTCCATGCCCCCCCAATATTTCCCACTTCATCTTACCTTACCTGTCTGTTCTGTATCTCCTGTCTGTACTTCCCCCCACCGACTGTTTTCTGTTGTTTCTGTTGTTTCCGTTGTGTTTTCTGCATCCGCCAGTGAATTTGCATCGGAGCTTGAGCTCCTTCCTCATCCGCGCGCCCCTTTTTTGCTGGTAACTTTAACTAAGCAACTCTATTTGGTTTGCTCGCCCCACAGATAAATACAACAACGACAATGAGAGCAGCTCGCCCAGTCCCAAGTCCACGGAGCGCATCATAATTGGTCACGAGAAGTCGGGATCGCATGCAGAGCGCCGCTCGGAGATATCCGCCCAGCTGGCCAAGAAATACGAGGGCAAGTCCCGGGAGGTAGGTGTCCTTTTTATCATATATGGAATATAGTGAAAGTACTGATCGATTTCTGTGTATCCCATTGCCAATCAGGAACTAATGCTAATTGCCAATGGAATGGAGAACGAGGCTCTGTTGCAGCGACAGCGCGTCAAGGAGCTGGAGGACTACCTGGACAACCTGCTGCTGCGCGTGATGGAGACGCATCCGAAGATCCTGCAGAATCCCTATTCGCGCACCACGTCCGCCAAGAGGTACGGCACCTGGTCGTTCTGGTCGCACCCACGGACCACGCGCACCCACTAACAAACTGCATGCCCCTGACCGCCGGTAGGATTGTTGATAGTCTCGATAGATGATAGATGAATAGCTGATAGATGAATAGCTGAATAGCTGCTGGCAAATAGCCAGCCCCTCGAACAAAATTCGATGCCGCTCTGGATGGAATTTGATGTTGATACATATATATATATTTTTTACATGATCTTTGTTTTGTATGTGCTCAGTCCAAGTCCATTTGCCATTCAATATGAACAATCCTACTACGATCTGAATGCTCTTTTCTCTATTAACCAACCCTGTGTCTTGCCAACTTACACCATTCACTATCCAACCACCTAACGACCCAATCACCCACCACCCACACTTGCCGTTTAACAGCGATGTGCTCCGTTCGTGTTTCTGTGTTCTTTGTGTTTTGTTTGCCTTTCCTTTTTAACCGAATGCATTTTTGTGATTTCTCTTTATTTAGTTATAAAAATTACATCAATATGAATGACTTTCTAAAGTAAGTGCCTACGCATGTTTGCAAGTTGCATTTAAGTAGACACTTAACCAACAATCCCCAACAACAACAACAACATCACCACCAACAACAACCAACAACAACAACAACATCACCACAACCCCCAACAAGAACAACAACTGTAGGAAGAATTTAGGCAACTCCTCCTCCACCTCCGGCTGAAAATATAATAAAAAGAAGAGAAGAAACCACTGTGGCGGAATTGGGATCGAAGTAAGAAGAACCGATGACCCACTGACTTTTCACCCCATCATCTCCGCTCGCTCGCTCTGTCTCTGTCTCTGTCTTTATCGAACGGCTTGCCTTCTCTTTTCTTTTCGCTTGTCTGTTGATGTGTCGATGGTTTCCTATTCCCCTAGAGCCTAAGACTTTCCCCCACCTGCACCCACTCACCACTCACCACCTAGCACCTGAAACGCCTGCAAAACTTGGCTGTACTTACCCCCATTCGTTCTGTAATTGCAGTGGTTAAGCAGCCAAACTGGTCAACCGACCAACCGACCGTCGCCAATCGGTTCGACTGTCCAAGAACTAGAACAGCTGGAGGAGATCGGCGAAGCCTCCGAGGAGCAGTAACCAACAATCGAGAACACCACAAGTTGCCTTTGTCGCGAACAGCGAAATTCAAGTGCTTTCTAAACCGTAATACTAAGAAGCGGGAAACTAAATGTACACGTAAATCATTTAGGCTTAGGGAGTCCCAAATTTGATGTTAAAACTGATATTTCCGTAGCATTCGTTGTTTTTCGTTTGCCTCCAACTAAACCGAACTAAATTTATTGTACTATACTACTGCTACTGTTTAACAATCGCAAGTTCGATTGATTGAAATTATCTAAAAGTATTTTGTTTATTTTTTTTTTAATGTCAAATTTATTTGTAATATTTTGTGCAAAACGTGTTTGAGAAGTTTTTGTAAAGGCCGCGAGGGAAGTGGCCTTAGTGGATTAAGTTTTAAATTATTTATGTTTAGCTGTTAAGCAAAAGGGGGGAAAATGGGGCACAACCTGTGTCCCCTGCGAAAACACCACACACAGTTGAAACATGTTGATACTACAATGATTTTACTTATTGATATACACACAAACAGAATAAAAACATTTTTAACCTTATTACACACTCGTATACTTTATTTTAAAATCATAAGAATGTATGCTAACTAAAGTTACAACAAAATGACTTTAGGGTTTTGTTTTTTGTCTCCAAAGTCTCCAAAAACCCCCCAAAAAAAGTATTCAAAAGCAGTTTTTCCGTCAAAACGTAGAGAAGTAATGGTCAAAAGATGGAATGTCAACCCACGGTGAATTCATCATTAAATTCCCAAGCGAATGGCATTCTCAGCTAAAATTTTTTCAGATTTCCAAATTTCTGCAAAAAATGATGATGTACCCCCTTACAAAAAAGTCAGAAATTTGGACATAAATAAATCTTTAAAAAATCGTTTTTCAAAATTCGGTTGTTGTGTCCAAACTAAATTAATTGTTTTCAATCGATCAGGGATGGATCATATAGGTTGCCAGCTGTTCCAAATACCAACTCTTTTGACTTTGGGTCTTATTTTGGCAAAGTTACAACAAAAAGACGCTTCAGAAATAATTTTGTTTTAAAAATCGCCAAAAACCCCAAAAAACACATTAAAAACTTGGTTTTTGTGTCAAAACCCTGGGAAATAATGGTCAAAATGTGGAATGTCATACACCGTTGAATTCGTAATAAAATTTCCAATCGAATGGCATTCACAGCTAAAATTTTTTCAGATTTTTAAATTTCTGCAAAAAATGATGATGTACCCCCTTACAAAAAAGTCAGAAAATTAGGCATATATAAATCTTTCAAAAAACGTTTTTCAAAATTCGGTTGTTGTGTCAAAACTAAATTAATTGTTTTCAATCGATCAGGGATGGATGGTATAGGTTGCCAGCTGTTCAAAATAGCAACTCTTTTGACTTTGGGTCGTATTTTGGAAAAGTTACAGCAAAAAGACTCTTCGGAAATAATTTTGTTTTAAAAATCGCCAAAAACCCCAAAAACACATTAAAAACTTGGTTTTTGTGTCAAAACCCTGGAAAATAATGGTCAAAATGTGAAATGTCATACACCGTTGAATTCGTAATAAAATTTCCAATCGAATGGCATTCACAGCTAAAAGTTTTTCAGATTTTCAAATTTCTGCAAAAAATGATGATGTACCCCCTTACAAAAAAGTCCGAAATTTGGACAAAAATAAATTTTTCAAAAAACGTTTTTCCAAATTCGGTTTTTTTGTCAAAACTAAATTTATTGTTTTCAATCGATCAGGGAGAATGGTATAGGTTATTCTGGCCAAGTAACTACAAAAAAGACTCTCTTAAAATGTTTATTATTTTTGTCAAATTGATTTATTTAGTTTCTACAAAATTAAGGTTTTACAATAAATTTTAAAATTTATTTAATATAACTGCGGTTGGAACGATCTGGTAACCCAAATCGAAACACGGCATACTTTCAGGCCCGCGGAGAATGTGGTCGTGAGTGGGATGGGACTTCGGATTCGAAATCGGAATGTGAATCGGGATCGTCGTTTTTCCCGAGAGAGGAGGAGAGTGGCTTCGAGTTGAGGCACCGGCACCGCGTATAGAGGCACCGCCGCAGTGGGCAGCCCTCAGTCTCTCACAGCCAGCGAATAGCTGCGCATCGCTGCGATCGAGCGCACAAAGAAAAAAGAGAAAGAGAAAAAGAAAGAACCGAGGAAAGCCGAGGAAAACGTATTTCCCACTTGCCCTAACCATTTTCCAGTTGCTGCTCGCACTCGCGACGGCCACAAAGTGCAGTAGTGAACGAATATCTCCACGAATTGCGACATTTTTTTTCCTGTTGTCCCCGGCCAAGTGCGAAACGAAAAGAGAATAAAAGTGCTAATTGTGCAATTGATTGACACAACGATCGATCTAATTTATCGGTGGCAGTGCGAGGATCATTAGATCACTGGGAGTAGTGTTCGCGTTTCAAACATGAAAACATGAAGCCTGCCGCGAATTGAAAGGCATATTAAATAAGAGTCAACAGCAAAAAAAGGCAGAGCAGACGCAGAACGCGCAGATCGCAAACAACAAACGAGTGAAGAAGCGAAAAAGTGAGTGATTTATTTATTGCACAGTCACAGTTCCAGTCAGAGACTCAGATACTCAGATTCTTGGATACTAAGATACAGATACAGATACAGATACAGATACAGATACAGACACAAGCTCAGGTTTATTATTTGTGTGGCCCGTCCGCCGGCAAATCGCAGCCAAAGTGAAGCCCACTTGCATCTCCGATCTCCATCCAAATCCACTCACGGCTGCTTATGCTATGTATGCTATATATGCTATATATGCTATATATGCTATGTATGCTATGCTGTGTTATGCTGTATTATGGTTTATGGCTTATGGTTATGCCTGTCCGTCCGCCCGTTTGTCCGCTTGTCCGTTGTGTTCTGCTTCAGCTTCAGATTCAGATTCCGTTGCTGTTTCTGTTTCGGAAGCGGCGGCGATGATCTCTCGACTTTGGGGATCGGGGTAGAGGGGATTTGGGGATGCGGACACGGACGCAGACACACCGAAATGGAATGGAATTGAATTAAATCAAATGATAAAAAATATAAATCGAGCGCAGAAACAGTGGCAGCCCTCTGTGTGTTTTTTGCGGCAGCAGAAACAAAAAGACACGGCAAAAAAAAAAAAGAAGCGAAAATCGGAATCAGATTCGCGCGTTAAAATAAAGGGAAGGAACAGAGTCTGGATCCGAATCCGAATCCAAATCCGAAACAGAAACCGAAACAGAATCAGAATCAGAATTCAGAGAGACAATCATAATCACAGAACCCCCATACAGGGCGGACAACTGACGAGATGGATGGACAGATACAGATTGGCTGTGCCATTGGGGGGCTACTACTCCGACATGAATTCAGTTGCACATACAGAGATACAGATACATTTACAGATGCAGATACAGATACAGATACAGCAACAGCAACAGCAACAGCGGAAGGAAAAGATGCAAAGGGTAAACCGGAGGCGTCATCCGCACTTGTTGGCAGCTCCTGTATAATAATAAAATAGAAAAATGGGAATAGGATAGACATGCCTAGAACTCCGCGTCCAATGTTGCTTTAAAAAATAAGTTATGTGCAGTTCACAATATCTAGATATATAGCTACATATGCTATAGATGTACTTTTTTCAAACCATGATTCTAATTTCAAAACTTGCAATTACATTATTTTTTCGCTTTGGTATTGCATTTTGCATTTCGAGGAGTTGGTGCTTGTCATGCTGTTGTTGTTGCAGTTGCACACACTGTTGTTGAATGCACACTTGGGTAAACATCATCGTACATTTTCACCGGCCAACTTTATCTTCATGGAGATCCAATTCGGCTGCCAACTGAAAAGCCAAAGCTCTGGGCACTTCCAATTCCACTAAATTGCTGCTCAAATGCCAAATGCCGCTTGATCGGGTTGCGTTGTTGTTCTTCATCATCATCATCATCATGATCAGCAGCAGCAGCAGCAGCAGCAGCAGCATCAGTTGTTGTTTCATTAAATTCCCTGCTCGTTGCCCCATGAAAAGTGCTTAATGGTTTTGTCGCGTTTTGGAATTTACACAACGACAGAGAGTGAGAGAGCACACAAAAACAAAAAAAAAATAAGAAAAAAAATAACAAAAACCAAACAAAAAGTGAAAAAAGCAAATAAAGTCCAACAGCAGATTCAGAATCATAAAATTCGTGAGCGTTCAGCTGACAGTTTAATAAATGCCTCTGCCTCTCGCTCTGGCGCATTCATCAGCTTCCAGTTTTCAGCTTCCATTTGGGGCGATTGTTGGGCATTGCTGGGATTGCTGGGATTGTTGGGGCTGCCAGTGGGCTGCCAGTGGGCGGCAGAGGCTGTCAAGATCCAAAACGAGAAGAAGCAGCCCCTGGAATTCCTCACAAAGCTTGAGAATCGCATAACCAGCAGACTGGCTCACTTTTACCCAAAAAATCATCTAAGTCGCAAGTCTTTATCACAATTTTTATTGGATTGGATACTCCTTTTAATTCAAAATCAATTCTTTAATAAGTATCATCATGTAACCGTTTTAAGCTAACCATTTGGACTTTCATTTGCTATTTATTTCGGGTTTTTCTTTGGGGTTCCTTAGAGCTTTTCATGTTTTATCCATCCTGTAATTAGTGCTCCACTTTTCTAAGCTAATCAATTGGTTTTCCCAGAGACATTTAGGTAAAAGTCTTGGGTAAGACTTGATTTTTATAAGCTCTCTTCTCTTTTTTATCTAAAACATTTGCACTACATTTTAATATTTAAAAAGAGAATCACTTTTAACATACCACACATGTGCAATTTAATTTTTGGTAGTGTAGTTCTCTTTCTCTCAAGAACTACTGCCATTTAAAGTTTGTAACATTTATCCAGCTGTTCACTTTAGCTTTTTAATATATTGCTTAGCAGAATTAAATCTTATTTGTTAAGCATTCTTATCTTCTGCCATTTATAAGTCAAGAAGAGAGGGCCCAAAGTCATCGCCAAGATCATGACTTCACTTACTGCAGCAGGCACAACTTTGGCTGCAGTTTCATTTCGTTTGATGTTGATGTGCATTTTATTTTAGGTCGCGAGTTAAAAATACGCCAATCTCTCTGGCTGGTGCTTTATTTTCTTTGGCAGCGACAACTGCCAGCAGAAAAGCAGAGAAGCAGAAAAGCGAAGGGATGCCGCCTCCTCTTTCCTTTGGACACATTTTGGTAATTGCATGGGAAGCGTGGACACAAAATGACTGTCCCAGATATTGTGTGTGTGTGTGTGTGTGTATCTGCCATTTCCATTACCATTTCCATTTCCACCTTTCTTGGTCTTTGGAGACCAGAAGAGAAGAATCGTTCAGCTGACCCATTTAGATGGGCACCTCCGTCTCCTTCTCCTTCTCAGCCTCAATTAGTGCAGCATAAGAGGCAGAAACGCAACATGATTTAAATTGCTGTCACTGTCAGTTGTCAGACAGCGGCGACAACAGCAACAGCAGCACGAGCTACAAAAACAGCAGATAGCAGACAGCAGAATGTATCTTATAGATACACGGCTGCTGACATAATAATCCACTGCTGCCGCAACCCCTTTTCATTCCTTTCCTTTCCTTTCCTCTCCTTTGCTTGCCTCCAGAGTCTTGGCCAGAAGTCAGCCACATGGGCTAAAAATGTGCTGCTTCTGGGATACACCATCCACCATACACCACACACCATACACCATCAGCCATTCCGCTGTCACTCAAACTTTGGCTGGCCGAGATCAGTGATCGCTTTGGGTGCCGCAGCCATGATCCACATTCGGTTGAGCAATAGCATTAGCCATTCGAAACGTAAATGTATTCGCACAGAGAAACTACTGAGAAAGACGGTTGACAATTCAGAGCACGATCTGTGCACTGTTTGTAAGGTAAGGGAATGGTGGAATCTTAGAACCACGATCACGATCATGATCGGTGGAGAAAGCATTACAACCGGAACCATTATGCCATTAGACAGGTTTTGTGGGTTTTCAAAGAAATGGCAGGGAAATAAAATCCAATCAGCATAAACAAACGAGCTTTTAATGACATGGCAGTTTGGGGGGCGAGAGGAAGTGCCTTCTGGGGAGTTTCCGATACGAAATGGGGAGTTTCATTTGAAATGAAAACAAATATGAAACACACTTGTCGCCCATGCTAATGAGCTGCTCCTCCTCTTCCCCACCCTCCCCCAATCAATTGATCGCCAATTCCAATTTCACCCGATCGATTCGTCTGCTGGCGGGCAACTCAATCCATCCGCTTGAACTCGAGCCCTGCTACAGTGAAGCCCCGCTATACCCGCCCCGGTATACCCATGCTATACCAGCCTAACCCCACCCGCTGTTATATGGTGACGGTGGCCATAATGGTTGATTTTAATTAAATATTTCTTCTTCCTGTTGTTGTTTCCCTCGTTCGCGTTCGTGTTTGCGTTTGCGTTTGCATTTGCTCTATGGGTTGGCCCTGGATGAGCCCCCTTCCCCACCATCCGCTTCCCAGGGCACGACAAGTGCACGACCCCACCCCATACCATCCGATCCGATCCCAACCGATCCTAACCGATCCCAACCCATCCGATTCCGTACTATACCATACTATCCCCATCCCATCTTATTCAGAGTTTGGTGAATGGGCTCTGATTGTGGCAGAGAAAAGTGCAGATTTTCCAGGGAAAAACCACGACATGGCTTCTGGTTTTTCGGGATCTTCAGTTTCCCTGGGGGGACGACCCTCTCTGCAACGGAAGTGGCCAGTGTAGCCTGGCCTTCTTGTTCTCCACTTGGCTTGGCCGTCGCGTCGCGTTCGCCGCATAAATAATAATCGCTGCCTATAATAGTTTGTCGTTAATGCGCCAAAGGAATCAAAAAACGAATCGAAACATAAACAAACAGAGGAGCAAGAGGATGAGTATGGGTATGAGGATGAGGATGAGGATGAGCATTGAACCCAAGCCGCCGCTTGTTGATAGTTGTGGCAAAGTTGGAAAAACAAAAAAAAAAATAAAAGGGAGTCGGTAATCCGACTGGTCGGTGGTCTATAGTAGGGAACTGCCGCCCCAGCACCCGCCATCATTAAAGTTGATTGCAAACTGTACGCATTTATGATCGTGATGATCGTCATGATCATAATGATCATAATGATCATCATCATCATCATGGCGATGGCGTCGCATTATCAGCAACTGCAACAGCAACAGCAACAGCAACTATGACCGTTGGCCGTTTATTAGTTTGCCGTTGCGCGAATTATTTTTATAGAAGATTGCTTCTGGTCTCCAGCTGGCTCCTAAGTGCCTTCTATATCAATAAGCGCGAAGTAGCAGTGGTTCCCATTCAAATTCCCATACCCATACCCATACCAATACCAATACCCATTCCCATTTCCATGGGAAATAGTGGCCCTGCAGCTGGTTCCCATCAAATTCGCCCATAAAAGTATCGTTTCTCCTCTTGCGCTGTTTTTATTGCAGATGATGCCGCCAAGACTGCCAGGCCCTGGTGCCGGCGGCCAAGGAGCAGCAACGACGAATCCGGCAGAGAGTGCGAGTACCAGTGGCCACCACTTAACGAGAAGGCCCGCGAACACAACGTTTCACAAGCGGCGACGAAGGCGACAGATCGGTGGCAGCCACTTCAGCATCGGCATCAGCTTCAACTTCAGCTTCAGTCCCAGTGGCTACCTGGCCCTGCTCTTGCTCTCCGCCACTTGCTCCCTGGTGGCCACCACCTCCTCCTCCGCCTCCGCCTCCGCAGACACAGCCATTGCGCCACCGGATCCGAATCCGAATCCGCATCCGCATTCGGATGCAACGGCTAGCCAGCAGCCCGTGGTGACCAGCATCTCCTCCAGCTCGCCGTGTGCCCCGCAGCACTGGTGGGACTCGCAGCGGGATCGCTGCACCCCGTGCACCCGCTGCCAGGGCGAGATGATACCGCTGCGGCCCTGCCAGCTGCACACGGACACCATCTGCGGCTCCATATACGACCTGAAGATCGACTGGGTCGTCCTGGCCAAGACCGAGCCTAATTGGAAGGAGGTGAGTGGGCATCCAAAGCAGTACATATGTTTCGAACGTGAACATTTTAAGACTCAGTACACCCAGTACCAAATGTGTTAACTTGCCTTTAAACAAAAGTTAAGAATTTTATTTAAAATAACGAATTTAATATGTACAAATTAGACAAATATTATTTTCTATTTCGCACATGATTGTAAGAGGCATAAACAAATAGTGAACATTTTACTACATTTCAGTACATATAGAATAAAATACAAATAATTAGTATTTAAAGTTACAAGCAAGCAGCTGAGTTAGTCGTTTACTTATAACATTTTTTTACCTTTTTATTTGAGATAAATAATGAGGCTTACAATCCTACAAATAAAGTCGCTCTTTAACCATGCTTAAGAATTAGCAATCTTTTTACTATTTAAATGTAACTTTTTGTTATCTACAACATTTTAATGAGTTTAAAGGGCCATGTTTGGTTCAACATTCTTTAGCTCAAGAATTCGCGATTTTGTTGTTTTTTTGTCCTAAAGCCTTTGAACCCCATCAATCTACTTTTTAAATTAAAATTTTAAAAAAAGTTATATTTAAGTTTAAAGGCAATGGCATGTTAGGCATTCTAAAGCTTAAGAATTCGCGTTTTTATTTTGTATCCTATAGCTCTTTAAGTGCAATCTCATTAAACTTAAAAACTTTACTATATCCACAGCGCCGAAAGTCCTCGGAGTACGAGCACTTCGAGCAGAATGCCAAACTGCAGCACCTGACCCACGAGCAACTGCAGCAGCTGCACGAGGAAGCGGCCGCCGCCTGGGTCCTGGACTGGCAGACAGGAGTGCTCTACGTGGCCGTGCTCACCTGCCTGGTCTTCTTCTCGGTGGCCGCCTGCATCCTCATCCACCACATGCGCCAATGGCGCCGCATGGAGCGTCGCCTGGATCAGGGTGAGTACGCAAGTCCTAGCCCACTTTAGTCCAAGTGCTTTTCACACGCTCAGTTGGGCACATTTCACCTGCCGAATCGTTGCGATCCAACCATCCATCCATCCATCCCCTCCTACTACTTGTTAATTCAGAGCGCGTTCATTTGGCCAAGGGCCCGACAGTAGTCCCAAATCCCAGCCAGATCTGCCCGCCTGCTTGGCATTCCCAACGAGTGGACGGTCGACCGCTGAGGGAGAGACATAAATATTTATAAGACGACGGGCCCAGAACACGACACTTTGATGTATGGAGGCCCGCCAATTCGAATCTCTCGCCGAGATTTCCACCGAATTGCTGCACGATCAGCTGGGCAAAGGGGCATATTAACGAGGAGCCATAGGACTAGGCAGTGGCGTAGCCACTTTTGCACTTCAAAATGCTCTCATAATCCCCTACACGAAATTCTGGTTAAGCCACAGGGCCTTGGCCTTAGAATTGGCCTGCTGCTCTGCCATATTGATATAAAATGTTTTGCTGAAAAAGCATGCTTTAAGCAATTTTTTCTAAAACCAAACCTCCAAGCCCCCTCAACAAATTCTAAAAACCACAGTAGCTTGGCTTTTAACATGGATTGTAAAAGTGGAAGTAAAATCTCCCTCATTTGGGTAAAAATTGTTAGAAATTGTGGTAATGAAAAAGCATGCTTTAAGCATTTCTTTCTAAAAACCAAACCTCGAACCCCTGGCACCAAATCCTGAATACGCCATTGGGACTTGACTTTAGACTTGGATTGCTCTTGCCAAAGTATAAATTAAAATTTGATTTTAAACTTTAAGATAATGTGGTAGTGAAAAAGCATGCTTTAAGCAAGTTTTTTTAATAACCAGGTTTCGATCCCCTTGCGCCAAATCCTGAACACGCCACTGGCACTTGGCTTTGGACTTGGCCTGCGCCTGCGCCAAAGTAGAACGATATGTCCAAATATTTTTGGCGCATGCGAGTTGCGACTCGCGATTTGCATGCCAAATGGCATGGGCATCGGCATGAGCACAATTAGCAGGCATTGTGGATAGCCGACCATGTATGTAGAACCTGAGCGAAACATGGTACAGTTGCCCTTGGATCACCGCTCAAATGGAGCATGTCAGACATCCCAACGGGAATGGACGACTGCCTGTCCATTTGGGGAGTGCTGTGCTCTGCTCCCAAAAAGAGTTCTGTGCTCGCACAGACGCGGACCACATGTTGCCAGAATACAGAATGCAGAATTCAGAATACAGAATGCAGAATACAGAATCCAGTGTTCAGATACCATTCTAGCTGTTAGAGAAGCCAGAAGAGAAGAGATTTATGCCGTGTTTTGATAGCGCTTCGTGTTGATCCAACCCGAGATGTGTTGTTCCTCCGCATGTAATCATAATTCAGGGCGTGTCGACACAACGTCCCACGCGTGTCCAGCGTGGAAAATTTATGGATCTGCGCAGCTGAGGGAAACCCTCGCTTCTGTGTGTTAAGTTCCTCGAGAGGCACTTGCAACCGGAAACGAATCTCTTGCGGCAGGTAAAAATCTCAGGTCTGCAACCCCCCCCTTCCCCCATTTGCCCCTCAACAAAAATGTTCGGCCCCTTCCGCTCAAGGACAAGCGGATGTTTGTCGATACATTTCCGCGGGCATGTGGGGAAAATTCGGAAATCATGTCACACAAACCCGGGAAAAACATGTTTTCCACACAGCACAGCAGGCAGGAAACGAAATTAAATGGAGGCAAAGGAAGGGAAAGGAAGGGAAAGGAAGGGAAATGAGAGGAAAGGCCCAGGGAGAATTTTGGTGATCATCGACAGATTTAAAATAGTGTGACATGCGGAGGTAAAGGGGCAGAGATACAGATACAAATGCAGATACAGATACAGATACATATAGTGGCTGCACTTGAAGCGATGTTTCCCCGCTAATGGTGGTGCCCCCACTCCAGTCGCTTCCGCCTGCAAAGGGATCTATAAATACAGATACTCCCTGCCAAACTAAATGATTGAACCAGCTGCGGGAAACAGTTGCTCTTGCAACAGTGGGAAGTGGGAAGTGGGAAGGTGCAACTGCAATGCAACTGCCATTGCAACTGCAACTGCAACTGAAACACTTCCCGTTCAAGCGCATCATTGACAATTGGGGAGTTCTCTTGCCACGCGCTACTTCGTGGCCTCCTCTTCAACTTGAACAAGGAATCTGCAGACTGCAGCCTGCAGCCTGCAGGGCAAGGCAATAAATTCTCAAGCCATGCAGTTGCCGGAGGATGAATGTTGCACATTTGCACATTTGCCATAAATAGATCGGTTGTATGGGATCCAGAACAAAAAGCCAGGCACTCCGCCATTCATCGATTTTGTCCCACTTTGCGCGAGTCCGGCAATTCATGAAAACTTTCTAACTTCCTGGTCTTTGATTTTCCACGCTGCCCGTTTTTATGTTCACTAATCTTTTCCGTGGAAAATCTCAGCAGCTCAGCAGCTCAGCAGCTCCTCAAAACAATCCCACAAATGAAACGAAACGCAGCGAAAGGCACACCTCATTTGGGAGCCTCACATGTGGCCACAAAATGAAAATTGTAAATGGTAAATGGAAGATGGGAAAATTGGGCGGGGGAGAACAAAAAAATTCGAACATTCGAACATTCGAACATTCGAATCCAATTGAACTGCGCAAATTTGAAAATTGTGTTTGGCCTCGCTTCGCTTCGCTTTTTTTTCCCTGGCGTGTGTTGTTGTTGTTGTTTTCTTTTCTATTTCCAAGAGATTTTATTGTTCGCGCTGCCGCTGGCCGATTGTTTATAATAAAAGGCGTTGAACGATGGCCCGAAGGCAAGAAGACCCCTCCCCCTTCCTTCTTGGGCAATGGAACTTAATTTTCGTGTTCAGTTTATAAATAAATGATAAATTATCTGCTGCTGTTGGCCTCGTTCGCCGATGCCGCCCACTGGCCACCGAAATTGGAGGACGGAAAATCAAGGGGGGAAAAGGCAGGGGCGCCGCCGCCTCTTGTTTACAATTTGCAATTCTCTGCGGATTGCGATTTCCTGTGTACTGTGTATTGTGTACTGTGTATTGTGTATTGTGTACTGTGTGCCACCTAATAAACATTGAAGATCGATCGAAGGCCCTTTTTCATCCAATGGGGGGGTTGTATTTGCTTTACCGCATATCTATATATCAGTACTTCAATAACTTAATGTGCTTCAGGTTGAGGCTAGCCAGCTTTTCAAATAATTTTTATCCCTATACCCTAATTCCTCATAATATTAAATTAATTTAAAACGCTAAAACGCCCCTTTTTTTTGCATCAAACCAACAAAATAAACATGAACATCAAATTAAAAACATTAAAATTAAAAAAAATCACATAAATCAAATTAGTTATTGTCGGCAACAATTAAGAAAATAAATTTGCATATAATAATAAGAAATAAAGGGGCTTTCCACTCATCATCTGCCATCTCCCGTCCTCTTTTGCAGATGTGGAGGAGCTGTCGACCAAGCTGATGGCCAAGCTGGCGGAGGTGCAGAGCCTGGACGGAGGCACCTTCTTCATCGGCAACGCGGACGCCTTGCGAGGACTGCCCGCCTCCGGAGTGGCGACGCATGCAGCTGCGGCGCAGTCGGGAATCTTCCAGCCGCAACACGTGCTGCTGCCTGGTAAGTGTCCTGCCAGTCTAGATTCTAGATGCCTAGATCCCTAGATGACTAGATGCCTAGATCCTTGATCCTACACCCTATGCACCCGGACCGAGGTCAGCCACTTGAGGAGCCTGGCAGGAGGCGGAACTCTCAGCGGGACTGAAACCAAGGGGGCTAACAAATAGTTGGAATTGCATTTCAGGCATTAGCATAGCACTCAGCTGATTCTAAACCTCGTACTTTTATTCGGAATATTAGAATATTTGAGCAAGATTTGATAATTAGCAAACTGCCCTGCAGAGTTCAAAAAAGGATGATACTTCATGAGAAATACTACTTTACTTTCACCAATTCGGAATTTTAAAATATATGAACAATTTGTGACCATTAGCAAAAAGTAAAAATAATATATATTCATAAAAAATAAAGCATTTCGAATTTAGAAATATATTATGAGATTTCGTGAAGTTCTTAGAAACAAATGTTATGCATAAGTCTTTTTATTTTGTACTTTATTATTTACTATTTTATTTTTTACTTTGATTATATTGTTAAAAATTTTATAATATGTATTACATGTTCTAATAGCCAGTTGACAGATTACTAAACATTCCATTTTATGATCAGCTGAAGACCATAACGATATTTCAAATTGGGGCAGTAACTCATCCATCTACTGTTCTTCCTGGTCTTCTTGCAGAGAAACGCGGCAAGCACCAGGAGCGAAGGATCCTGAAGACCCTGCAGCCCGGCAATGTCTACATCGAGGAGAGCAATGCGGGATTGGGCGTGGGTCTGGGCATGCGTCCCAAGGGCTAGGCAAAGGGGGCGACAGGGGGTTTGGGGGGGGGGACATACTTAAAAAGTGGCGATGGAGGAGCAAGGACGAAGCATCAACCGGAAACGGAAACGTAACCGGAAACCGGAGACCGGAAACCAGAATCCGGATGGAGAGAAGAACTTTGTACAAACAGCCGCTTAAAGGAGAAACGGAAGGGAACCGAAACTATTATTATTTTTTTATATTATTAATCTTATTCTTATTATTACGACTTTTTTTTTGTCCTAATATTTAATTGAATCGTTATGTTGACTTGTTTGTAATGCGGATTCCCGTTGTGTGGGAATCCCGGCAGAATGCGGCAGAATGTTTTGTACATAGAGATTGAGTTGAGGAGGCAGATGTGGTGGCACCCACCCACGAAGTATATAGTATATGATTAACACGATTATGATTAACAAATTTCTACTTAATGTAAATATTAAGGCGATCGAACCCGCGAACCTAACGTAACGAAAACGCAATCGATTGGATTGGTATGGCATCGAAACCAAGCAATATCGGCAACATATCAGCTACTATATACACCGCATATAGACGCGCGTATTGTTAAACATCATCCATACACACAAACTCACACACACACACACACACACACTATACACGTACTATTTGTACACGTAACCAAGTTAAAATATCAAACGAGAGCATTTTCCGGCTAGCTGCTACCGAGCTTAATCGAATTAACTGTAACAGTAATGGTAAAGATACAGATATAACTACTTATAATAAAGATAATTAACGGATAACTATATCGATAGGGAGAAATGTCTATGTCCTAAGTGCTATCAGTGTGCAAACAGCAATAAAAAGTTCTACGAATATACGAGATATACCTGTGTTTTGCTTATTATTAATGGCGCACTCAAATGGAAAGGTGAGCAAAAATAATTTATGTGACAATGAGTAAAAATATTTAATTTGTGAAGCAAAAGAAGCTATACATTTCTTATTTTGAGGCTTACAAATTTACGTTTTTTTTAAATAAATCATTGTAATTGATCTTTATTTTGTGTTCAGTTTTGTGGAGCAGAAAAGAACATTTGTTTCAAGACAAATGTATAAAATAGTAGTATATTTGCTATATCATTGTAAGCATAAAAATTAATAGCAACATTTTTGAACAGGCTTGAACAAATTTATAATTCTTCCAAATATGATCAAGATAGATCTATATAAACTAAGCTGAGTTATTCAATAAAAACAAATAGATTAGTTATTTATAAAGCTGTGACTAAGATAATCATTCTGTGGAAGTCTAGTTAGTGGCTTTTTGTTCGAATAATTTATGTAAGTAGGTATTTTTCCAACTAGCCAGTGCTTTCCCGGCCCCAGAGTGTCTACAATCTCAGCATCAGCATAAATGCAACTGTCGCCTTGGAGCCATCGCCATACACAAAATGTGCAGCGGAAAACACATGTGGGTGCAGGCATAATTGCGTGTTTTCGAATGCCAAAGATCTTTACGGCGGGGGAGGAGTGCCAGGAAACGTCTTTCAGTGGAAATGAAAAAGAAAATGGAAATGGAAATGGAAATAGGCGGCTGCGTTGGGTGCACTTTGCATTTGGCATTTGCATTTCTACAGAATTGTCTCCAAGTTAACATTGAAAATGGTCAGCAAATGACAACGAAGACGACAACGAACGGAATGCCTTTGCATTTATTAATGTTGCTCGTTGTGCAGTTACACAATCATAAACGATGGCTGGCTATATGCATATTATTGCCTATAATATTTGTAAATGAAATTCGTTTAGATGGCGACGGGCCGACTGCGAAACGCGCAAAAAATTTCCAATGAAAAACCTATTCCCATATACTATTGACCATTCAGCGCACGGAACGCGAGAGTTTCTGATTGCCCACAGATTGCCCAGCCATGGGCTTTGATGGCCTGGCCAGCAGAAATTAATTAGCCGCGACGTGGCATAAATTAGCAATGGCCAGCTGAAGAGTTCACAGTCTATGTTAGTGGCAAGCTGGGGGGAAAGAAAGCCAGTCATTTCACAGATCTTTTTCCAAAAGATCTCTTCCAAAGGCCGGGAAAATTCGCTTTCACCCGCAACTCGCACAGGCGCTTCTCCACTTTTCCAGTTTTCACACACTCGGAAAAAAGCCCTCCACAAAATCTAGGTACGATCATACTTTAATGTATCAAAAATGTTGGTTCCGTTTGCAACAAAACTATATAATATGTAGTGTCAAGCTCCTAAAATATGAGTAAAACTCTTAAAACAGGAACGATTTGAAAAAATACTTTAGAAATAGTAGAAACTAATAAGTTATTTCATACTAAAACAATAAATAATTTTTGCATAATTCCAAGCTATCATACAAGTGTTAAGTTTTTAAATTAAATGTAAAACTCCTAAAACAGAAACGGTTTGAGGAATTATTGAAAAAATACCATCGAATTAGTAGAAGATAAAAAAAATCCATTAACAAAGTACCTTTCATATTTAAACAAGATGACATCTTGGCATTATTCGAAAAAACAATTCAATCTGTAGTTTTCATCGGCGTGTAAGAGAGAGTTTAATTGATTGCTTCAAACTTCTTTTGAGAATATTTCAAACCTAACAATTCAGGCTTGTATTAAAATATCTATTTTTGCATGGCTTTAGTACAAATTTTTCTTGGCTTCATAATAACTTCAAGTTAAAAACTTTAGTTATGAATGATACTATTTTCAAATAAGAAATTCAGAAAAATTGTAATTGGCTTCTTTTCAAGCCCGCTTTTACCACAACAAAGCTGAGAATTCCTGTACTTTTCCCCGAGTGCAGCTGCCGCGGCACATGCCAAACTCATTTGGGATATTTTTAACATGCAACTGGGAGGAGATTTGTCGCAGCTGCTCGAGATGCACTTGTGTTGGATGAGTTGGATGAGTCGGATGAGTCGGATGAGTCGGATGATAAGTCGTAAAGAGCAAAAGCGGAAGGAAGTGGGCATTAGCATTAGCATTAGCATTTGCTAGGCGATAGTGGGCCTGGTCGCACAAAGCCATTCGGTGTCGGAAATTAATAGCCCATGGCTGCCTCCTCTGCCACTGGCAAACATTTTGGGAACGTGATTGCCAATTGCTCAATGAATCAAAAATAGCGCCACGAGTGCGGCACTTGAATGGGGATCGTAGATTGGGGATTGGGGAGTGGGGAGTGGGGATCGGGGATCGGGGATCTCGGGTGACTGGAGAGTAGGGCTTTAGCTTCAGTGGGCTTTGGAATGCGCACGTAGATCGCTTTTGGCACTTGGCACTTGGCCATCGGGCGATCGCGTTGGCGATGGCAATGGCACAACCTGTCCAAATGCGGTCAACATGGCATTTGATACGCTTTGCCGGCGCATTTGGACTTCGATTTCGATTCGATTTTGGCCATAGTGCTGGTGATTGTGTGATTTTTGGCCTGTGTTTCCGTTGGCCGAGAAACGACGATGGCGGCGGAAATGCAAACGCGCGCGCGCAAAAAAAAAACAAAACGAAAATTGCAAAACGATCGAGTGGCAAAAGGGGGTAAGCGGAAAAGCGGAAAATCGGGTTTATGGGAAAAACAAACGTTGCATATGCGGGAAAACCCGCAGCGGAAAGGCGACAGGAAATGAGTATTCCCCACCCCCGATGTGTGGCGGGAAAATGAATGATCTGGTTGTTTTTCCCAACAACCTAAGCTGATGAGGGAGCTGGAATTGGAATAGCCGCATTTTTGAGGAACTTGAAAGCATCTATGGCGGTTTGTGTCTCCACTAAGCGAGTCCTGGCAGGAAAAGACCCACAGATGGCGCCAGGTGTACTGGAATTGGTATTGTGACCGACGCTTCGTTTACAGCCAGCTTTAAAAACTCACTTCTCAGCCATGCTGTTCCTGAAGATCTTCAAGTTCAAACAATGGCACTTCCTGTCATGACCCGAATCAAGGTCTACCTGTGGCCCCCTTAAAACCTCCATCCTCCCTGGCTCCTGCCTGTTGTATCCCTCTGTATCCTTTTGTGTAATTGCACGTTGCGGCACGCGAAATTAAACAGAAAGATAGCTCAAGTGGGTGGGAGTTGTGGATGGGGATGGGGATGAACAGATAATGAAGCGGTTGGAGGACCCACAGCTCGAGGGGCTGACTAAATGGCGAAAGAATGACAAACGCCTAGAGGGAGCAAAAGTTTGCGCTCTGAGCAAAAAGTCCAGGGGGTTTGGGCAACGGGAGTGTCATATCTCCGGCGTCCTCGTTGTCTATTGTTCCCCAAAGTGTTTTTATTTAACTCGACCAACTCGGCAGCTCCAAGAAGTTTCCACGGCCTCCTTCTAGGAGTCCTTGCCATTTGCACAGACTTTACGTTTGTTTCATTATCTTTTATTATTGCCTTTGCTGCTTTTGTCTAATTTCGCTGTTGTCTTTTTCTGGCATCCTCACCACCCCTTGTTGTCGTCTCGTTTTTCCCTGTTTTCCCCGTTTTCCCTGTTTTCTCTGTTTTCCACGCCCCCCACCTTCCTCCCTGGTGCTAAATTGGCCGTTAAGATGCTAAAGATGCGGATTTTGGTGATTTACCAACTTGCTGCCATTGTTGTTGTCCTGGCCTTGCAGAGGGTATTATTGTTTTAACCAAGTTCCTGATGATTCTGTGAGGACTGTGATTCCAAGGTTTAAGAACCCGATTTACATTGTATTGTTTTATACTAGCTGAGGTCGAAGGTTTTTTTTTGGCACTTACTTATGAGACTGTGCCATTAAAATAGGAAATTTTATTCAGCCAATTCAGATTGTGATAAGCTGATGATCTGAACAATCCATCCCCGGTTGATTTTGAAAAATTTCAAAAATTTTTTATATTAGTTATATCATGAATTTTTGCGAAAATTTCTCAAAAATAAAAATTTCTAACTGTGAATGCCAGATATGATGTTCCAAATTTCAAAAACCAATTTTTTTTATTGTTGTTTGCCCTTTTATAGACTTGACAAAAAAAAACATATTTATTGAGAAATTTTTTGTTGTTACTTGACCAAAACAAGAAACGTTGCCAAAAGTTTGCCATTTTTGTGCATCATATCGTAAAGGGCGTAAAAAAACTATATTAAACAATTAAATTATAATCTTTAATATTACATCCCCAAAGCTTTCTTTCCGACTGTTACCCCACACAATTGATGTCCTTTTTGTAAGGTATGCCCCCATTCAAGATACGCTTTTGTCCTTGCCAAAAGGATTCTTGGCCCATTCAATGCTTTGTATGCTGCCTCGCCTTGTTTGTCATTGTTTCCAGCTCCTTTTGGCCAAGAAGTTGCGGCGGAAATCGCGCTAATTTCGCCGCCCCTTAGTTTTGGCCACATGACGGTAGTTTGCGGCAGGTGGTTTTTCCGAGGACAGATGGGATCGGATTGATTGCGGCCAGACGCGGAAGTGGCTGTGCGGATTGCGTTCGATGTTTGGTGTTTAGTGTTTAGTGTTTGGTGTTCGGGGCTAAGTGGTTGTGGGGGGTGTCCTGCACTCCTTCATACCACTTTTTGGCAATCCAACTCTGGCCGACGGTCTTTTGCCGCTCCCGATTTGCATAGGCTTCATTAGCTGCGTTTTTCTGCGGGCTGCGTCCTTTTTCGATGACCCTTCCATGTGACGGTGTTGATTTTCACACAACGCAGCGTGAAATTAGAAATCAACAACATGTCCTGTCACAGCCACCGCACAACCGAGTGTGGGGATTGGAAATGGAGGAGCAAAAGGACGGAGGTGGTCAGGTGTCGCTATTTGGCAAATCAGTTTTGTCTGCCTGCGCTGCAGTTTGCCAGCTCCTGCATTTTGCGGTTTTCCGTTGGACGTCTGCCGCTGACAGACCAAATTAAAATGTCCCCGGCTGCAAGGACCTCTCTGCAGGATGGGTTGGATTGGATGTGGAGGGAGAGGGGAGGGGAGGGGTCCTGTCTGCGTGTCACTTAATGACCAATTTGCCAGGCGGCCCAGTCGGCCCAATTGGACGCCCACAGCTGTCGCATTTCGTATTTCGCATTTCGCGTTCAGTTGACTTTCGCTGCGATAAATCTTCAAGTCACAAAAATTGGCAGGCAAACACACGAACAAACATGGACAACAAATCTTAAAATCAAGACAAGGACAACAGCAAGGAGCAACCAGCAGCCACAATCGCTAGCTAAGAGAATTACAACATGTCGCAGTTTGTTCAAAATTTGAATAAATTTCAAATTCGTCGGCACACCAATCTCCATGTCGCTCGCCCCTCTGAAAAGTTTGCGCTCGGCTACAATTAACTTTTAAGTATGCCATTTCACAGATACCGCAGATATCGCCGCGATATAAAAAGAGCTGTATGCAAAGTCGGGGTTGAAGTTGCCAGCAGCAGTTGAGGAATAATTTCCAGCAATTTATCATGTCACAGCGAGCACAACAATGGAACAAAGGCCAACAAACGGGGAACAACGAATTGCGAGTACTCTGTAATTAAGTGTAAACATGTTTTAAGTTTGTAAATACAACATAAGGGGATTCCACTTGTACTTATACAAAATGTCACAAGTTATAAAATTTTAACTATAATATATTTCAATAGATTTCCTTCATCTTATTATAATTATAAGAATTTGAAACTCATTGCTTGTAAAAATATATATATATTCGTATACAAATATTTTCCATGCCTCAATAAATAACAATATTAAATATATTGAAAGTAATTGATTTCTTTTTTTTTAGTGCCAGTAATATATAAAGTTAAGTACAAATTCTTACTATCTAAACAGTGTGTAAAAAAAAGCAAAATATTTAAAAATCAACTTTAGATGGATTTGAAGTTTCCCTTTGTTGTAGTGTATATAAACCAAAGTGCGTGCGATTTCCGTTTCCGCTCCTCTGGCAGCCATAACGAATTTTTGCATAAATACCACAGGATGGGAGGACTTAGGCAAAGACAGCTTGTTAATCGCCGGCCATTTATCTAGCTTAATGAAATTTGCGAGAAATCAAAGTCGGCTGGCCGTTTTCTCGGTCGCTATTAGCCACAAGCTGCAACCGATGCCAGTGTCCTTGTGTCACGTGGCGACCCCCCAATGCCACCCATACCCATCCATACCCATCCATACCATACCCATCCTGATACCCATTTCCCATTCAGAACCACGTGCGCAATTAAATTGACGCGTTCTTGACGGATTCCTTTCGAGCTGCTAAACACCCAACGGGGAATTGGCCACTTGTCGGCATTTATCAAGACTCCACTGTAGACTGAGTTGTTTTTCGAATTTCTATGCCATCCAGGTGGGCCTGGAGAATTAGTTTGTAGTGCCCTGACAGTTGGAATGATTCTGGACAGCAGTTCGATTGAAACGAAGCCAGTGTGTGTATCAGCATTAAAGAAAAAAAAAAATATTTACACAAAAAAAAAAAGGAAAAAATCGTTAAAAAGTTGAAACGAACTACTACACGTAGAAGCCATTTTCATAACCAAGAATCAAGAAGCGAGAACCGAGAACCGAAAACCATTTATTGACCAGACAGCTTAGGCCAGAGGAGGATCACAACCAGGTGAGTCGTCTATACACACTATTTCTGCATCAAATCCTTTGTCCTTCCGTGATGTCCTTTTGTCCTTTGGTCGCCACTTTTGGCCACGCGTAACCGTAACTAAACATTTGCATTAGGCGCCGTGCCGCAATAACCGCTAAACAGGCAATGCAAACAGTTTAAATGACAGCTAGCGGCTATTTGGGATTTGGATTGGGACTGGGATTGGGATTGGGATTGGGCAGCAAAAGGGGTGTGCGGCCTGTGTCGCTTAAATAAATTTTGTGGCAAATCGGAAAATCGCAAAATCGGAAAATCGCTAAAAGGGCAAGCCCTGCGCCATGCCGCAATTGGCAATCGAGGCCGCAAATCGCGTTTTAAGCCCTGCGTGCGATTAGTTTAATTGCCAAAAAGAAGGGGGGAGGGGCGGGGGTGGAACGTTTGGTGCAACAGGACAATGCAACATTTGCATAGCGGTTGCGGTGGTCCTCGCTTAATGCGAAAATAAGGATTAACCAATGAAATTTATAAATGCGCAGCTCCAGCCGGGCAGCACTGCAAATTGAGTGCATAAATTGGCCGCACCGTCCGTTTGTTTGGTTGTTATGTAGGGAAATGGAAAGCTGGATAGCTGGCTACCGAGGCCATGGAGACCTGGGACTGGCAATCTATTTTGGATTAAATCAAATCGAAATAAACGATTTTTAATGGCCCGGCCGACTCTGTTGTCCGTGGTGTCTGCTCCGGGTGTCGTCGGCACAGTGGCAAAAACGAGGTCATTAATTATTTCTTCAAAAGCAAAAGATAAGCCCAAACAGGCTGGGGTTCATTTGGTTTGGTTTGGCTCGGTTTGGTTTGGTTTGGTTTGGTTCGGTTCGCATCCTTTTTGGCGTTTTGTGTCATTAGCTTAAAACCGAGACCAGAAAGGACCCAGGACAATGGTCAACAGGGACACACAAGCACACACGCATCAGCATTATCCTCGACGGCAGCCGCATGTGGCAGCAAAAGATTAATTAATCTTTAAGGACTCATTGTGCGCTGTTTTTGCTACTGATGCTGCTGCTGCTGCTGCTGCTGCTTCTGCTGCACCCACTCCACTTCACTCATTAGGACATTTGGACAGGACATTTGCATGTGCAGCGGGCCAAAATGAATTTATGGCCTGGTCAAAACGAGCAGGGATTTGTGGCAGCCAAATGAATGCCCCCTCTCAACTTTTTGTGTCCCCTTATTTAAACCTAAGCTCGACATTTGTCACACACACACACACTTTCTGCATCCCCTGGCATTTATTTTGATTAGCCATTGGCATTCATTTCTATTTGTTGCTTTCTTATCGTAAGCCCCCCATCGCCATCGCTATCATCATCATCATCATCATCATCATCTTCTGGTGGCCAGGATGACCAGCCAAGTCCGCTTCCTCCATCATCAGCTAGGCCTAGATTAGTGTGGCACGCAACTTAGCAAATGCCACACATAGTTGTCTCTGCCACGGGAATTTCGTTTGTCAAAGTTTCACGTATAAAATATTTACAGCTGATTATTTGGCCAGGTTAATGTTTTCTCCGAGGTTGTGGGTGGGCGGGGTCGCATTAAGTGGAGCGCAAAAGTTATCCTTTGATGCGCTCGGGCCGCATTCCCTCTAATTTATTAGCTGGCACACGTGAATTATTGCTGCGTCTGAGAGTTTTCAACTCTTCGACTTCGACTTCGACTTTGACTTTGACTGGCAACTGGGAATTGTTGTGGCCCAGCTGTGTGCGGCACTAACTATTCGGGTCAGAGGTGGGGCTAAGAGACCTCAAATTGGGCTTTGATGGCAGAATTCGAATTTTGGCTTTGAGCTGGGGGACATCTCCAGCTTCCCAAGCTCTTGGATTTAATTAGTTTTGGGGGCCAAAGTAAAGTAGTAGTAATTTTCATTTATTTGGAATTATTTTTATTTTTACATTAATTTTAAAAAATATTAAAACAATTTTGCTATCAACAAAGATTTCCAACTCATACATTTGTGAACCACTAAAGAGAAAAATCTAAGAACTGGGGATTTATCTATATTTCCTGAAATGTAATATTAAAATAAGTGCGCATGAATTAATGGATATGTGTGCCATTATGAAGTCGATAATTTCTTTAATTTATAATTTAAGGAAATATATTCTTTAAGTTCTTGATATTCTAAATCGGGTTTATATGGATCAGCTTATTAACTTGAAAGAATAGATTTAGAGAAAAGTAATTGAATTGAATTCATTGGGCTACCACATTAACAACATCCCCCCAAAAATAGCTCATTTACCTTTAAGTCTAGATATAGTTCCTCCGATTAAAAAAAAAAAGACATGTTTAAGAAATGAGCTCGAAAAAATTGAACTATTTTTGCGGATACTATATGCAAGTCTTGTTCGCCTCAATAGCCATTGCATTGCAAGACGCGACCCCCAAAAGTATACAATAGCGACTCGTAACCGTGAGTTACGTTCCTTCGGTTAATGGGAGTTCGGCTTTGGCTGCCGGCTTTAATGGCCCAAGTTTACGGAACTGAACGCAACTGAACGGAAACTAGACAAGCCACACACGTGGAGGAGGCCAACTCCTTTGGCGGGCTGTTAAAATGATTAATGGAGTGTGTGTGGCGGGCACGTTAACGCCCTTGCGAGCGGAGCAAGTTACCGGGACAGATGTTGTCATAAATAAAAAGAAGCTGAAAAGAAGATGAAGATGGCAATGGCAATGGTGGATGGTGGATGTGGAATGTTGGATGGATTTTGGGCAGGAGGGGGGGTACTGGCAACATGTAAATAAACATACATGTGTGCGCAGTTATTTATGCATGTGTGGGCGAGTCTGTTTGGGCCACATTAATGTCAAATCAGCCGCATAAATTGCGTAAAACGCTCAATTTATTAAACGAAGCGTGCTCGACGGGGGCGTGGGCGTGGCCGTGACAAGTGTATTTGCCAGTTAATAAATGTCGCAATCACTGGGGAGCATTTCGCGAATATAGCAGTCCACCAATCCACCAATCCACAAGTCACCTTAGAATGGGGGAAAAACTGATTGCATAGTTAAGTGAGGCCTTCAACGCCTGGGCGCATCCTTTCGCTGAAGCATCCTCCAGTTGAGGATTTTGGCCCACTCCACTCTACTCCACTGTACTGCACACCCAACCACTCCACTCGATGCCACCAAGTGGCAATTGTTCAATTCAGAAATTGCCATCAATCGATTTGGCTTATTGTGGCCGGGATCGTGGTGCTCGGCAGGAATAGTGACAAAGGCAATCACAACAGCGAAGATTCAGATATGCCTGGCCAAAGGGCTCATAAAAATTTTAAATCGCTTTCGCCACAAAGTTTCGCCTGCCAAGTCGACCGAGGAACACTCTTAATGGAATAAGTCTTCAATTGAAAGAATTCACATAGTTGTATAGCAGTGTTTTCTTTTCCTTCTTAAAACTCACAAAATCTAATAGAGCTTTTACAAGAAGCAACACCAATTTGTAATAAATAAGGGTAACAACTTGGCAATCGTGACCCTAAATGAATTTCCTTTGAATTTTCTGAAGAATAAATATATATATTTGCATTTTATGGGTGGTATTTAGCCAATGGGTGGGAATATACAAAATATACATTCAAAAGAGCTTTATCTAAAAGCAAGAACTTAATTAACTGTTGCACATAAAAATATAAATGAAGCATATTATTATTATTTACTAGCAAGTATTAAATTCTATTTGTTTCTATGGCTTAACTCTGTTGCACACAAGAACCAAAATTGTTTGGGTAAATTTCTTTGTTTTAAAAGCCACATTTGTAGGGCAACCTTAGGTCGTATATTCCCTGGAGTTGATTTGACTTGGATTTGCTTGTTTCGCGTTTTGTTTCGCTCTCGTTTTGCAATTGCACAAAGCTGGGAGTTTTGGAGTAGCAGGGACGAAGGACGAAGGACGTGCCGGGCTCTCTGTCTTCGCATGTGTGTGTGTGTGTGTGTGTGTGTGAGTGTGTGTGTGTGTGTAGGTGTCAAGGGTGCTGTCCTGGCCGGGAAACGAAAGCCCCACCACCACCCTGGGCGGGATTGCATATTTTGCTGCCTCACGAACATGAGCGCTCGTTAAACGGATGAGTTAAAAGTCAAAAGCCCTAAAGGATTTTATTTGAATTGCGGTCTGCGTCGCGCCGTTCGACGTCTCTCCTCCGGGAGCCAGAATCCTGAATCCTGTGAATCCTCCCGCTCCGCTCCTTGCAACCCCTTCCTTTGGCCCTTTGTGTGCCATGTTTTATTTAAAGTTTATCTCCAGTGCCCCTTTCTCCCCGGCCCTTTTTCGTCTTTCTCCCTTCTCCTTTCTCCTTTCTCCTTGCTTCACGCTAATTTCGCGCCAAGGCGAGGCAGTAAAAAATATGCGCAAAATAAAATGTGGAAAAATATTTTGGCGCAAGATGGTGGAGAACAAAAGGGTTTCATCCTCGTCGGCACGTCGCCGTTTCAAAGCCGTGTTGAAAAATATTTGAAATAATTGCAAAAATGTTTTCACAGCAGCCGGGCACAGACAGACAGACAGACATTCACACAGGATCTCCGGCAGGGTGAAAGGTTGGTAGCTGGAGAGCATTGTCTTGTCCATGCGAAGCACGTCCTTGAGCTGCAGCTTACGAGTGTGGCATGAGGAGAGCTGCGCCGATCCCTGAACAACCTTTTCCCGAAACAGCCACAGAAGCGTAAGCGAGTCGTAATCAAATCACACACATCAAATGAGGAGTCACAACAAAATTGGCCTCTTATGAATTTAGGAATCGATTGTCTTCTTTGAGCATGACGGAACCGGAAGTGCCCACTGTGCCCGAACTGGACAACCCACCGAACTTGGCCCATTGCTCCGCCAGTAAGGCTTTATCTTTTCCCATTCTAAACAGCACACTCATTTCTGCCCTATACTCCCAAGCACTAAGCGCAGCAGGTCTTGATCCAGCTCAGGATGCAGAGGTTCAACCAGAACTGGAGCCAAAACCAACCTTAGAACAAGGAGCTGAGCCCTGTCCAGAACTAGCAGCTGAAACAGAACCGCTAGAAGAAACCCCATCTGAGGCACTATTGGAAGACCCGCCACTAGAACCACCACTAATATCAATTCAAATGGTGGTTCAGTTGGAACTGGCATTAGAAACACTGCCAAGATCACCAGCAGAATTTCTGCAAGAACCACCATTTGAACCACCACTTGAAGCGCCACTAGAATCACCATTAGAATTACCTGTACAATCACCACTAGGATCACCACTAGAATCTCCAATAGATTCACCAATAGAATCAACAATAGAATCAACAATAGAATCACTAATAGAATCACCACCAGGATCACCAGTAGAATCACCACCAGGATCACCAGTAGAATCACCACTAGAAACAACACTAGAATCACCAATAGAATCAATAATAGAATCAATAATAGAATCGCCAATAGAGTCTACACTAGAATCACCACTCAAATCACAACTAGAATCCCCACTAGAATCACCACTTAAATCACAACTAGAATCATCACTACAATCACCACTACAATCATCACTGGAAGCATCAGCACAGTTACCAGAGACGCTTAGCAGCCCCAGTCCCAAGAGCCCTGCCCAGAATGAGTCAGGTCAGATGTCACCATACGCACCCGTTTTCCATCCAAAGCGCTCCCATGAAGCCAAAAGGCGCGAGAGCGGAGGACCGCAGAGCGCAGAACAACAGCAGGAGTGGCACTTCTTCGACTTGGGTTTCGAGATCGGAACTGGACCATACATCGGACCCGGAGGAGACATACCGCGACGCTTTCAACTATTGAATAAAGCCCATCGAGAGCGCAACTGCAACAGCTTTGGCCTGGGCATGGATTTGGAGTGCGGCGATCCGCGACGGTTGACGCCGCCACCAAAACCACTGGCGGAGCGACCTACTCCGTGGGTGGCCTACTTCAGACCGAATGTGGTGAATGAGCGCCAAGCTCAATTGTCAGAGGCGGCGGGGACTAGCAGAAACGGCGGTCGCAATTGGACTTTAGGAGGCACAGAGACGAGGACGAACCCATTGGTGGTCAAACCGGAGCACGAAAACGGCCCGACGTTCCCGCCGTACGAGGATTTTGCCAGGCAACTTGGTGAGTTCGGCTTGCCGGCCGACGAGTATATGGGCACACTGCGCAACCTGCTGATACGCGCCAACGATCTGATGAAGCCGCTGGTCCAAGGCCCCTTTGAGCACATGTCGCCCGCCCAGATGGCCGAGTACACCACCGCCATTTTGGCGACACCGCCGCTGCACCCAAGCCTCTTCCTGCCGGCGGTAAGATTGGCACTCCAGTCCCGACGACCACCTGACCACCACTTGACCTCTCTCGCAGAATACGCCACGTCCCTGGTCGATCGCCACTGAACTCGGCCTGCCCTTCGACAGCCATCCGCACAGCCTAACGCCCGAGGATCGGGCCCGCATCCAGGTGAGTAGGTTGCGGTTCGAGGACAGCTCTACCTCCTAATCCTCCTAATCCTAATCGCCCGCAGGCGATTCCCAAGCTGGTGGATGCGACCACCCAAACGGATTTCTGTCCCAGCCTACCGGCCAGCTACTACACGGGGCCACAGCTTCTGTTCGAGATGCCTCTCCACGAACCCCGGTCACCAAACGGAGGTAACGCTGGACCAAGGGTGCCGCAACCATATCCACCCGGACCACCGACTGGACCAACTCCGCAACAGTACGGCTACTGGAACAGGAACATGGGTAGGTTACTACTCGCCAACGAGCGATAACTCACTCAAAAAAGTTCTATAACTAAATATAGACGGCATTGTGTAAATATTAGATTTTTAAATTATTCATTTGACTGTGCTTAGAGTTGATTTTAATATATATTTTAAAATTTTATTTAAAAATTTAAATCATTTCTAACTTAAATATAATGCATTTTGAAGAGATATAACCCATTTGGAATAATTAATTTTAATATTAATTTAATGTGCATTGTATTTTATATTTTGATTTTAAATTTATTTTAAACATGAAATTTTTAACTAAACGTTTAATTAAAAAACCAGTTATTCATCTTTGCTGTTCAATTTTTTTGATCAAATGTTGTCGATTCTGTAATGCACGCACCCCTTCGATACTTATAACCGAGTCTTCTACAGCAATGCCAAAGCGCCCACGTCATATGTCGCATCCCCATGCGCCGCCGCCACAGCATCAAATGCCCCCCCATCCACAACATCTTCGTGCCGCATTCCAGCAACCTTGTCATTCGCATCAGAGAATGCATCCGAGAATGCAGTCGGGAATGCAATTGGAAATGCACCCGGGTCATCCGATGGCGCAGAAGCTGGGCGGAGCACTGCGCTACCCGGAGGAGGGTCGCTTCGGCAACCAAGTGGGCAACTTCGGTGCGGACAAGCAGTGCCGCTACGGAGCCATCGGTAGCGGACGTCCCAGCCAAAACAAGGGCCGGAACGCTGACAACTCTCCGAACGGGAGCTACGGCAACCGAGGTTATCTTACCGCCGTAAGGCCCACTGGTAATCCCACTGGACCGTCCAGTTCTGGCGGAAATCCAGCCCAACCTGGTGCGCTGGACATACAGCTGCGGCTCAACGAGGAGGGAGTCTATACCGCCAGGAAGGAGAACGCCATCAGCCCTTTGCGGACCGAAGGCGGTGAGAATGATCCCCAAGGCAGCGAGGAGAGCAGCTACGTCGATGAGGAGGATTCCGGCGAGGATGACGACAACGGTGACGAAGAGGAGGAAGACGAGGGGGATGAGGAGGAGCAGGAGGTGAAGGATGAGGAGGAGGAGGAGGGGGAGGAGGAGGAGGATGAGGAGGATGTGGAGGGGGGAGGAGGAGGAGGAGGACGAAGACGAAGAGGAGGAGGAGGAGGATGAGGTGGAGCTGGAGGTTGTGGTGGAGGTTGAGGTGGAGGTTGAGGAGGAGGAGGAGAGGCAGGAGGATGAAGAGCAGGCCGCAATAACCATTGAGGCAATAGAAGCACCTGCCGTCGCAGGTAGCATAGTGCAGGATCAGCAGTTGGCCGCTCCCGAGCCCTTCCTCTTCCAAGGGGTGGAGCTCTTAAACTACATCATATCGGAGACCCCCATTGTGCCCAATTGCTATCAGCCCATCGGCTATGGTGCCACATGCCAGGAGCACGGTGGGCCGCAGACGCCGCGCGGCAATGTGCCCTGCGCCCAGGTGCAGCCGCTTGTGATGCCGCCCACCCATTTCCCAAGCTTTGCCCAGGCTGCTCGAGATCACCCTTCGCAGGCGTCCGTGCATCCTCCCATGCATCCTCCCATGCATCCTCCCATGCATCCCCCCATGCCTTCTCCCATGCCCGCTGGTGTGCCCCCTTTTGGCATTGGCATTGGCATTGGCGTTGGCCTCCAGGGCCAAGCCGATTACCAGCTGATGGAGCCCGAGCACCACTACAATGGCAACCACTTTAACTACCGCCACCACCGACCCAATCCCGACTTCAATCCGGCCATTTTGAGCTACGAGCCGGGTCCCAGTGGGCTCTACATGATAACACGACCACAAGCACCACCTCCACCACCACCGCCACCACCAGCACCAGGCGTTTTTCTGCAGCCGACCATGTACCAATTGCGAAAGGAGCGGGCCAGGGCACAGCCGATCATGTTCGAGACGGATGGCCATCGCAGCCACAGCGCCGGCCCTGGACCTCCGCTGATGATGCACAACGTGGGTGGCCGAGAACACATGCATGGTCATGGTCGTGGTCACGGTCCGAGTTTCAGTCGGGGACCCCATGGCCCGCCCGGCCACCACATGATCCACCCACAGCATCCCCAGGGCATGCCCTTCAATGGCCAGAATATGAGGCCCTCGCATATGCACGGCGGTCATGTCAACCAAATGGGCAGAGGAGGCATGGACATGGGCAGGGGCTTGGGCGTGGGCGTGGGCGTGGGCGTGGGCGTGGGAATGCTGCCCCTGCCTGTCCACATGCTCAGCACTAACCGAATGCCGCAATCCAACATGCAACAGGGTATGCCGCAGCCTAATAGGCAGCATGGTATGCCACAAGGAATACAACAGGGTATGCCACAAAGTATGCAGCAGGGTATGCCACAAAGTATGCAGCAGGGTATGCCACAAGGAATGTTGCAGGGTATGCCACAAAGTATGCAGCAGGGTATGCCACAAGGAATGTTGCAGGGTATGCCACAAAGTATGCAGCAGGGTATGCCACAAGCCATGCTGCCACAGGGTATGTCACACGAAATGCATCATGATATGCTACAGAGTATGCTACAGAGTATGCAACAGGATATGCCACAAGGAATGCAACAGGGTATGCCACAAAGAATGCAACAGGGTATGCCACAAAGTATGCAACAGGGTATGCCACAAGGAATGTTGCAGGGTATGCCACACGGAATGCAGCAGGGTATGCCACAAGGAATGCTACCACAGGGTATGCCACAAAGAGTGCCACAGGGTGTGTCACACGAAATGCAACATGGTATACTACAGAGTATGCTACAGAGTATGCAACAGGGTGTCCCACAAAGTATGCAACAGGGTATGCCACAAGGAATGCAACAGGGTATGCCACAAGGAATGCAACAGGGTATGCCACAAGGAATGCAACAGGGTATGCCACAAGGAATGCAACAGGGTATGCCACAAGGAATGCAACAGGGTATGCCACAAGGAATGCAACAGGGTATGCCACAAGGAATGCAACAGGGTATGCCACAACGAATGCAACAGGGTATGCCACAACGAATGCAACAGGGTATGCCACAAGGAATGCAACAGGGTGTGTCAAGGGGCATGCTGCAGAGTATGCAACACGGAATGCCACAGGGTATGCCTCAGACTATGAACCAGGGTATATCCCAGTCTAATATGCAGCAGGGAAGGCCCATGAATGTCCCACCAGTCCAGTCCAGTCGCGGCATGAGTCCTTGCGTCAATCTGAATGCGAGGCAAAACTACCCGAATCTGAATAACAATAATGGCAATAACAATAATACGGAGCTGATCCATATGCCACTGTCACACATAGAAGAAGGGAGCAACGTGGCCAGCAGAATGACAACTGAAATGTCGATCGGTGTTGATCCCAATCCCAATCTTAATCTTAATTTCAGTATGTCGTGGTCGAACAAGTCGTTTGGCATGATCACACTTGCTCCCGGATCGCCGAACGTGACAAGTCAACCAGTAAACACCCAACCGCTTGGAGACGGTGGTCCTGTCCCAGGAGCGGCAAACGGCGAACAGATCAGCCAGCCGTCTTACGCCTCCCTTCTGCAGTAACAAAACAGCGGAGGAAAGTCATCATCAGTTATCATCATCATCACCGAAGAACAGGTTGCCAAATTCTAAATTTAATCTAGTCAGATCGCAATTCAACTACTCTTCCACAAACGAATCAAATTTCTTTGTTACTTCTTCTTTTTCGTACTTGTCTTTCATTTGTTGGTTAAATAAAACACGCACACTCCACACATATAAATTCCGGTTCCATTGAAATCCACCCCCTCAGTCGCTGGTCATTCCATATTCATATAACGATGTGCGAATGGCAAATCGCGGCATTAGCCGCAGATATGGATGATGATGCCCCTTCTTGCGAGGCAAAAGAAAAAGAACAGGGGAACCGACTATTAGATACCCGTTGAACAGCTGGCAACCTATACCATCCATCCCTGATCGATTAAAAACAATTAATATAGTTTTGACACAATAACCGAATTTTGAAAAACGATTTTTTAAAAATTTATTTATGTTCAAATTTCTGACTTTTTTGTAAGGGTTACAACATCATTTTTTGCAATAATTTGAAAATCTGAAAAAATTTTAACTGTGAATGTCATTCGATTGGAAATTTTATTACGAATTCAACGGTGTATGACATTCCACATTTCGACCATTATTTCCCAGGGTTTTGACACAAAAACCAAGTTTTTAATGTGTTTTTTGGGGTTTTTGGCGATTTTTAAAACAAAATTATTTCTGAAGCGTCTTTTTGTTGTAACTTTGCCAAAATAAGACCCAAAGTCAAAAGAGTTGCTATTTGGAACAGCTGGCAACCTATATGATCCATCCCTGATCGATTGAAAACAATTAATTTAGTTTTGACACAATAACCGAATTTTGAAAAACGATTTTTTAAAGGTTTTTTTTGTGTCCAAATTTCTGACTTTTTTGTAAGGGGGTACATCATCATTTTTTGCAGAAATTTGAAAATCTGAAAAAATTTTAGCTGTGAATGCCATTCGATTGGAAATTTTATTACGAATTCGACGGTGTATGACATTCCACATTTTGACCATTATTTCCCAGGGTTTTGAAACAAAAACCAAGTTTTTAATGTGTTTTTTTCGGGTTTTGACCAATTCACCGATGTATGACATGCAATCTTTTGATTTAAACACAACACTTCTCGGGGCTAAGTCAGTGCCAAAAATATTTAATTCAAATTGAATATAAGTCCAAAATATTTGCTTTTACCATGATTTTGCTCTGTGTTTATTAAGAGCCAGATTTCGAGATTCTGGCTGGTGATACTGATCAAGAATATGTGTATATTCTTTAGAGGGTCGAACACGCTTCCTTCTGTTACATTGTTTTCAACGAAACTATATACCCTTTCACTCTACCGTAACGGGTATGAAAAAATAATGCGGGAAATGTGTTTACGCCGTAGAATTCTCAAGTGGGCCACCAGGAGCAGGGTGGGCTGTGAAGGCTGTGAACCCTTTGAACTAATCGGGCTAATCTTTTACGCTGCCTGCATTCTAAAGAGTCCTTTGGCAGCCGCCTCAAGAGGTAGTCCTGTATCCAGTTTTGAAGTTTTGGAGTTTTGCAGTTTCGAAAGTGGGAGTGGGATTCGCATGCAATTCGCATGCATTTCGCATGCATGCTTGCGGCTCTTCTCATGTGAGAGGCAAATGTAATTAAATGCAAGTCGCGGGCATTATAAACATTTAACATTTAAAGGGCGAGCTCGGTGTTTACCCAACGCCCATAGTTTGACCAGACATTTAACGCTTCTGTGAACCTCAACCGCATTGGCTACATTTTTAATCTACAATTAACCACAGCTGCGGTGCAATTGGAGTGGATGCCACCGGGCTAAGGGCATGCCCTGTAGAGGATCACGGGGGGCAGTATCAATATTGATTCTATTAATTATAAAAACATTAAGTGCCAGCCAACAAATGTAATTAAACGCGTTAAACAATTGCAGTGGGCGGCGGGCAATGGTAATGGCAGAAAAATGCAATCACCCAAAGCCAAAGGCAAAGCCAATACCAATACCAATCCGAGTCCCAATCCCAATCCCAATCCCAATCCCAATACCAATCGCAATACCAATCCCCCAATAGCAGTCCGGACGGAGTCCACTCCGTCCGTTGCTGATGTGCGGCGATAAGCACGTTTTCAATTCATCCGACCAGGTGGCAGCCGGAGGAGTGGAGAAATGGAGAAATGGGGAAACGGAGATAGGGAGAAAAGGAGATTCGGTGGAGAGGTGATCGGATTGTCGCACATTAATGACGAAATTATTGTTTCAATTGCTTTCAACCGTTGTCAATGCAAATTTTATGCAAATACTTTCGCGATTCCGATTCCAATTCCAATTCCGATTCCGAGCCGGGTGTGCTGGCCTCTCTTAAATGCCATTGTGGCCAATAAGTCAATAATAATTATGGCCCGCCACTGTCCATTGTTCTGCCCCCCCGCCTCCTCTCGCCATTTCGAAATAGGCGTTAATTACTTTTATCTGGCCATGGCCATGGCCAAACAAAACAAAATAATAAAACGGCAGTGCAACGTTTAGCGCCTGTGGCCCCCGTAAACTCGCCTCGAAACAAACAAATGCATATTTATTTATAAACAATTAATATTATGGCCATTGTTGTTGCACGAGCTGCGCATAAATTAAGACCGCCCAATTATTATGCAAAATTGTCACCGGGGAGAGTTCAGCAGATAAAGTCAGTCGTCAACTGTCCGAGCCCTTTTCGTTTTGATTTTATTTGGGTTAAGGTTTGCTCTTGACTTATGGGGAAAAGATTGAGCTGAATAGCACAGAAATAAAATGGTGGTTATATGGTTAATTATTCCATGTTCGCAACTACATTTAAAATTCAAAAGAGAAAGCTTTTAGTTGTGTTAAGAGCACAACACAATGGAAAAAGTTGGATGTTTTGTAGTTTCGTTTCATCTTCCTGCAAGTGATTAAAAACTAAGAACTTGATACGATGACTATGGACTTAAATGTTACCAACAAAAAATGGTAAATCAAAATGTTGTTGTTTATTTATTTATTTTCTTTTAATTAAAGTTGCTGTCAAATTTATATATTTTATATGCTTGTATTGATTCATTTTCATTAACTGATTCTTGGTTAATTGCTCAGCATTAGAAATACTTTTCTCTGTTTTTTTGGTAACACCTCATAATATTATTATCGTAACAAATTGATTTATTTGTAATATAAATTAGACCCACTTTAGCAAGAGGGTAATGAGTTTTGAGGGGCCATGTCAGAGTGGCGAAGGACTCATCCCCAAAGGGCTGCATATCCACCTCTGCTGGTGACTGGCGAATGGCGACTGGCGACTGGTCACTGCCTTCTTCATGGGTCATATAATATAATTAATGCTATGAATTACTTGAGAGGAGCTCCGCAACCTGCGCATCCTTTCGTGCTTGGGTCGGTTCATGCGGTCACTCCAAACAGGATATTTTCCAGCCATCGCCGTGTGCAAGCTACAGTTCGGCCAAATCCCGATGCAGTCTGCGGCATCAACAGCAGATAAACTCTACCGCCTCAGCTCCCTTTCCAGCCAGGACTCTGGACTCTGGACTCGGTCGGCTTGGGTCAGTTATCCTGGCTACTGCTTTTGGCTGGGGACAGGATGTCCTGATATTCCGACACGTTGCTGCTTGGTCAGCCACATGCACTTAATTGCTTTATGAGGCGGTCATTCGCTTGTTATGGACTTCAATTTGATTTTTCTGCGAGGCGCGTGTGTGCGGAAAAACGAGACGCTGGGGATCAATTATTTTCCGGGGACCCAAAACCGGAGACCGAAAACCGGACTGCAATGCCTCAGGCCAGAGACGTCGGTGGCGCAGCCGTTGACCCCACAAAATGATGTTTTAAATGCAGATTTCGTTGGCACCCCAAACTTTTTTAATCATTCCGATGGCACTCTCCATCAAAACCGGTTACGATGCTGCCTGCTGGCTGCTGATGGTAATGATAATTGTGATGAGGATCGCCGGGACATGCGAACTGGGTATTGGGAATCTGGGAGCTGGGAACTGGGAACTGGAAACTGCGACAAGGAGCACGTCAGCAGGTCCCAACTTTTTAATGTCAGTTCCGCGCACTTTTTCCCCATCGAGGTGTGAAAAGAAATTGAGGCAGTTAGCAGTTGGCCAGTAGTCGAACTTGAGTTACCCTATAAGCTCAGAGTTGCTCAACTGGATGGTGAAGTGAAGCCACCTCGAAGATACCCGGCCTCAGGTGGGCAAAACTTTGCCAGGAAGCTGGAAGTTTGTAATGGCTTTTTGTTTGCGACTCACGCACACAAATCATTGCCCCGCAACCCTTACTTTGTATTTCGGATGAGGAGTTTCCATGGCGGCCAAGTTGTTTGATACAAGTTTTTCGCAAGCATTCCAGTTTTTCTTTTCTCTTCTTTTCTTTTCTTTTCCTTTTTTTTTTTTGAGCTGGATTCCTGGGCAGGAAAACATGGGTGTGCGATGCAAACACTTAACATAATTTGCTGCCCCCATGACAATCGACTGACTGACTGACTGACCAGTGGCCAGGACAACGTCTGGGTCCATCCGCATTCTGATTATATTAAAATTGTTGCACATCATTTGATTTGATTTAAGGAATGTGAGTCGTGCGTCTTTTTCTTTTTTCTTTCTTTTTTTTTTTTTTTTGAGCCATTGAGCCAAAGTGGGAAAGCGTAAAATTGGGAATTGGTAACCATGGCCACCCCCAAGCCCACAATTTATACATTACATGCACGGAGTGTGTGGAGTATTTAGATATGCCCACGCCCCGGCTACATGAAATTTCCATTTTGGCACTTAAGTCAGCCAAAGTCAATTATAATCAACGCCTACCCAGCAGGCATTTTCCGGCCAAGACAAAGCATCCCCGGCGCAGAAAGGATTAAAAAGCAGGAAGCGGGCATATGCATGAGTTTAACTTATGCGAAAGTGTTTCAAGACTTTTGGCTGATTGCCAGCCCAGATGAGGTGGGATTTTTCAACGGGGGAAG